CCCATAGTGGTCCAGCTTCAATCGACTCATGATCTCAACTAATGAGATTATCTATGTGTATTGTACTCCTCCTCTGTTCCACCCACTCTGATAAACGTTTGCCTGTCGAAACACCCTACTTATGCTCACACTTTTAGAAACGCATGCATTGTGCTTTAGTAATTCACAGCACTCCACATACAATTTACTCGCAGTCCATAAGTTGTAGCCGCCCAATATGCCTGTGATGTGACGCTTGTGAGAAATGTTTTCCGACAGGATATGAAACACAGAGCTTCAATTAAGGTGTAAAACTTTGTCAAGCAAACACTTTGAAAGAGCCTCACACCACAAAAGGGTTCAGGGTGAGGTCACTGGCAAACAGACATTGATACTGAGTGCAAAGATTTCAACGAAAACATGTGGTGCAGAATATTTTGTCTGTCTCAAGCTGTCTTTGGTGAGGATAAGGCAAGTATTCAGTCTTATTGAGGCTGTTTTAATACGCTTGATGCTCAGACCAATACTTCTAATCTATATTTACCTGTCTATTTTGCCTATGACATCGTAAATCAGGCTTTCGTGTTATTCCCTAGCGGATGACATCCCATGAAAATATGATAATAATGGAAAACAATGGACGGTAGACAATAGTCTTCAGCGTTTATAAACGCTTTCCTCCTTTCCAATGGGCCTTCAGTTTTCATAAGCGACCTCTCCGTTTATACCTACAACTTCCCCTCATTATTTGCATACGTTCCACCTCGTTACACACCAAAAGCTACTATCATATATTACTGTATTCTTTTATCTAAAGAATCTTTAGCTACAATTTATTCTAGCGTTGGCAGTTAGTGTGAGATTTTTCTACTGGTCTTAGTAATAATAATAATAATAATAATAATAATAATAATAATAATAATAATAATATATTTCTGCATGTGCAGGTACACACCGTTTTTACAGGCATGATCTATAAATTACAACATTTGTTGGTTCGCAAAATGCTTCCCAACTTATTAAGTTTATAGTTGTTATAAAGTGAAATCGTAGAGCGCTTGCTGTAAACTATGACCTTGAGAGGACGCGTACGTTAAGTTTGCTTCAAACGTCAGAAGTTTCATAGCTGTGCTCTCAGAGCAAGATTCTGAAGGAGAAAAAAAAAGAAACAGAGGAGCAGCAAGGCACTTGGATATGAACGCCAAAGGTTGCTTAACATTGTGTAGTAGAACGGACAGAGGTATAATAAATTAGAATAAATTAATATTATGTCTTGTTAGAGTGAAGTGAAGTCAGAGGCTCCATATTAGAGAATGTACTAATAAAGAACAACGAGTAGTGATGTTTAACAAGTTGGAGTAAGCTCACATGAAGGAAGGGAAGTCAAGGTTGGTACAAGGGAAGCGGTTTATTAGAAATGTGTGTATATAGAGGGTGAAGTGTTAAGAATACTAGTGACTATATCTTTTATTGTCTTTTTTCTTTTTTTTGTCCATCCGATGTCAGCCACGCAATCCTAGTGTAAAAGTCCGAGTTCTCGATAAAACAGGTACACATCTGATCGAGAAATAGTTGTCTACGCCCAGCCTAGACCCGTTTTGGAGTATGGAATAATGTATGCGAGTTCCTGCTCTCACTGAAAAGTGGTCATTTCAAACGACCGATTAAATATTTTGGTAAGCAAAATGAAAAAAGTGAACTATTGTGTTTGTCAAAATTAACATGCACATTGTCACTTCCGCTGTTAAAGAAAATTTCCAGTAATCTCATGCTGTTCTTTATATTAGGAAGCATGAATTCTGTCTGCCATTATTCGTTTAGATCCAACTGTAATCTTAGGGAGACTAATGATCCCTGATGGGCTAGGTCCCGTGTCACCTAGAATCATGATTAGGGATAAAAACGCTGACCTCCCACAGAAGTGAAATGTAGTTGCAAATGTCAAATTACTGAAAAGCGATTGATGTCTCATATGTCAGGTTCCTTTTAGTGGTGACTCACTTCTACGGATCAAGTGGCAATGCAGCTAATGGTTTAGATAGTTCGTCATCGCGTGCAGTATGATGAGATGTAAGATGATGGTTAAAGGCAGTCAGTAGGAGACCCAGTTTCTATTCGTTTTTGTTGGTAGCCACAAACTACCTGATCTATAGAGTTCGACCTTCACCGAGAAGGACTCGACATACGCTACAATAGTCGCTACTGTGACTGATCAAATGTTGGTAATAATACATGCTGGATTCCATTGTTATTATTATCGCCAATATGTTGAGAATGGCAGAAATTTCTGCTAAATATAAAGCTTTTACAACCTATCTAGTTTAGTTGTAAAGGTGACGGGAATATAATCATTATATGGGATGTGCTTTTTACTTCATTTGGGACTATTTTGTCGAAACAAACTATTGTGAAGAGTATCTGGTGCATTTTAACATTTCGTGAAAAAATCTCAACTAAGACTACGTAATGAAGTCTCGGAGTAGAATAATCGGTGTGTGAGAGTTTTAAGGGCCAAGATATTCCATATAAACATGAGCAGTCTCATGAATAATTAGGTTCGGTGGGTTAACTTACTCTGTGAACTTACACACCACCTGGGCTCATCCATTTGTTTCTTAGGATAATCGTTCAAAACAATAAGAAACAAGCACTAACTTTGATCTTCGTAGTATACACACCGCCATCAAAACCCTTAGGCCTAATGGGAGTCCTGGTGCAGATGACATCATATCAATTCTTTATAAAACGTCAAGGCCGGACATACAAAGGCTACTACTCGAAATATTCACATTATCTTCAGAGGTAGGTACATATCCCGAAGCCTGGAAAGTAACGTTTGTTGTCTCCAAATACAAATCAAGATTAAGAAACCTCGTCGAAAACTACAGACCTATAAACACCACTCCAGTTATAGTGAAAAAGTGATGCAAAATCAACCATTCGATCACCTACTTAAGAAAGATCTAATAGACCCTCACAACACGGGTTCATTAGAACAAGGTCCTGCAATACATGTCCTATAGACTTCTTTAGCGAGGTTACCCGCATACGTGACCAAAAGAAACAAGCGATTATACTATATTTCTATATTAAGAAAGCTTATGATAAAGTACCTCATAACCTCCTAATCAACAGACTTCAGTCAGTTGGAATTATAAAGTCTTTTCTCATGAACAGATACCAAATAACCAAGATTAGCTCTACAACATCTACACCTCGACCAATAGCCAGTGGTATCGTGTAGGGTGTTGTCTTGGGTTCATTGCGTCGACGTCTCATTTTTTTAATTATTAAAAATGTATCTCAAATACATTTTACGCAAAACACTAAATTACTTTCAAATGGTATGGGTTCGCATGTAAGTTATGTTTGACAAAATTCTTATGATTCACTTAAGTCCAAATAAAGGGTGAATATTCAACGTGCTGCTCCCTTTCACAAGTCACACTAAATGACGACAAACAGTGATCTGCATCACAGATCCTTGGACAATACCTACAAAAGATTTAAGTCAAGGGGGTTTAGTATCTCAAGATGGTACTGACTGGTGAGTGGCTTGAGTCACCATAAAATGTGACTAGTCCTCTAAGGAAAATGGTGAGTAAACAAATATAACAGCGCAGTCTTTTCCACCCAGAGATCACGTTTTACAAACACAAACATGAACTATTTACCAGTTAGTGCTTAAACTCGTCAAAAACAGTGAAGCATCTCAACTTTTTGTAGTTTAATGGTGTCTTTTCCAGATATAATTTAGCCAATGTTCATCGGGAAGATCGATTACACAGCAAGCTATTTGTTTCTATTATATACACTTATAGATGACTGGTAAGCACTTTGATGACGCCGGAAGTAGTAGTTAACTGACATTTCAGGGGTTTTGATTTATTACATTGTAGAAGTATCAGGAGACTGCTGTCTTTATAATTAAATAATCATACATTACCAAATTAATGGTTTTGGAGTAGTATTAGAACTACTTTGGAGAATATTTACACTTGAATTAGACGAGAACATAGGAGTGAAGCCTTAGCAAATGTATTTTGTCAAGTCTATGTTAAATTGTTTGCTATATATACATCTCGACTCAAGATTCAGGGATAAAAAGTGACCAATCCATTTGTGAGTGCATTGTCAGTGAAGTTAGTACCTTCGATCCCTTACCAGAATAATTAACTCTAAGCAGAACTGGAAGATCAGTAATGTATACATTACTGATTTCACATAAGAAACTTTAAAAATTACTACCGTCATCTTGTGTAGTAAAAGGGTATTCACACATTAGCAACTAGAACAAAAGTCAAGATTCCAAGCTGTCTGTTTCATTTAACTTAATAAAAGTCTAATTACGTTTAGTAATCTTAAATCATGGCAGCTTCACAATCGCATGTATACACATAAGATCTCGCCTGTAAAGTATACTGTCGTGAGATTTGCAGATACTTTGACCTATCGTAGGCTGATGCTGAGTGCAATAACGTTCTTCAGGAAAATCTGACGATCAAAGGCACATTAATACGCAGGAGTGCACTGTATGGGCAGATGAGAGAATTAGAATATAGATGATATTACGAAAAAAAGCAATCAGTAAGACTTTGTCATTTCAAGTTTTTGCCTTTATCATTCTTTCTAAGCATTATTTTGAAGAGGATTTTTGGCGAGACTATAATTTATGGACAAACCAATCCGATACAAGATAACAAGTCTTAGAATTTGGCGCGAACTTCATTCATCCGTCTGCCTAGATGGAGTCTTGGCATTTTAGCCGGTGTCAGTTCGTGATGAAAACTTTAAATCTAGTTCCTAACCATGAACTGTAAATCATAATTATAACTCCTCACACTGCTTTATAACCGTCATTTAGTCCTAGTTAATATGTGGACATTCTCAGGATTACAATAACGTCGCACATGAATTATAGTCTTACAGAAGATGTGAAAATACACAGCAGTAAGCTGGGATGAACTTCCATCATTGCTTAGTTCGATTCATGTGCAAGGTGGCAAGACTATCGTGGGTACCTGGCGATTATACTGCTTCCAACCTTGGATTTGCCTAAGCGCTGTGCTTTGTGTTCGTCACGCTCAATGCACAATATCAACATGTCTAGTCAGTAAACGAATGATTAGTTCGTGAGTCTTGTATTTCAGATTTTTGATCATTTTTGCTAAAAGGATTTGGATCACATAATATTCTCAGACCGTCATGAACTACGTGTCTCTTTCATCAATTTTTCGCAGTAATTTATTGAACGTGCTGTAGTGACTCACATTTATCACGAGAACACGACTGGTTTAATAAAAACAAATATTATTATAACCAACTGTACCGGTGCTTGTTTTAATGTGCCCTTGTTCGACTGTGCTAATGACAGCTATATTGTGCTTCCATTCCTATTCTCACAATTTGATCGTAACTTCGCGCGAATTCGGTTACGTTCTGTAACCAAGCTTGTATCCTGGCACGATCTCGGTATCCTTTCGATACCACGAGATCGTCAGCGAATATATCTCGATTTGGTCCATTAATTGCCTTCTGATATTTGGCTTTTCAGGGATTTTATAGATTTCTTTGGTTACGTTCGACCTTCGCCTTCTGATCTACTTGGCACGTGCTTCTTGGTAGCGGTGGTCATAGTTAACCTCAACTCACACCACGCTACAGTGCTTGTGTTCGACCGATGTAGTGTTTCTTAACATATCTTTTCCGATTTTCAATGTTTTGCAACACTGTCATTTCTCCTTGCATTTGCTTAGAGTTTATCACCACAAAATAGGACCTCGTATCACTATTTAATGTACATCATCACAGTTCGCAAATACTTTATATTCGTGCGCAAGGGAGATGAGAAACTCATTTGCCGGAATGGCGGTATCCGCGGCTTGACATTGTGGTGTTATGTCCAAGATGGCGTTGGTCTCCGGCAAAAATTTGATTTCTTGGTTTTTAATGAGTATTTATGGGTGATAAACGTTCCTTTATTATTAAGTGTTGCAAATTGAGTCGAGAAAGCTCGAAAGCAAAGTGTATTTTCGTATTTCTGCCAACTTCCGCCCATACAGTGAAGCCACATGCTTCCAGTTTGAGGATGATGGAGTAGTCGGCTGTCTTAATCAGTAAAGTCTCTTAGAAATAAAGTATATCGGTTGTCAATCAGTGACTGAAAGTTTATTTTATTATGTAAAGTTTCTCAGACGGATCCAAGAACAGTTTGCATTCACATAGCCGAGAATACTTGCCGAACGATCTCTGAACAAAAGGTATTGGCTGCAACGTAATGCAAACTTTGGTATTTATAATCGCGACTGATTTGGGCTTAAACAACGTAAATAACCGCATTGGTGAAAATTCGAACTGAACTATGTTGTTGAAGCAAAGTTGTTAACGATTGAAACCATTTTATCTATAACTTTTTAGGTTTCGGATCTTCAAATTTCATTCTAGCTGGTCTGAGAAAAGTTAGAAAGGTTTACTTAAGCTATGATGAACTCGGAGTAAAATAAATAGTGTACTGTAGTATATCTGAATTGATTTGAACTTGTCACACACATTATTGCAAACAAGTGGAATCGAACTACGCTATCTACTCATAATTACCTTAGTGCCCATTAGATATTTCAGTTGATTCGCATAGATAATAAAGTTGTTGGAACTCGACTAAGGTTTAATTGGTTCAAATATGGAGAGAAGTTTGACTTAACATGAATATTGGACAAATGTAAGCTCCATATCGCCAACAGGTCGAATTATCTATGGTCTACAAAATGTGCAGTATAAATATTTTATTCTGGTTAGCGTTTTTTAGCGAGTTGGTTTTCTACAGAATGGAGTCTCTAACCGCACGCCCGACCCCCCTCCTTTATGTGGGCTTGGGACCGGCAGTAGCCCTAGAGGGGCTCCAGGCGGGGTTGTATAATAGAAATAACTCGTCTAAAATGCAGTCATAATGCGGTAATTTGATATTCGTTGAGCAATATGTAAAAGAATGGGAATCCAAAAAATGTTGATATTTGTGAAGAACGGTTCATGAGAATGTCATCTGATGACCCAGTCAGTCTCTGATTAACAAAAACATTGTTAATTATTTGTACAGATATTTGATAACCTGTGAAAGTCGTTGATTAGCTGAATTTAATGATGACATACATCAGAAGGTAAAAGTGTAGCTGTGTGGTTCTGGTCATTTTCATGATATAATTTAATTTCTCACTGACTATCTTAATTCTTATTTGACTACCTACTGAACTTCGGCGGTGGATTGAACCGATCTATCTATCGAGGGAAGAATTGCATCACTGGCTAATAAGGGGCATTTTGCTCTCTCTGATAACCAATTAGTGTTGCATTGATATTTTGTAATTTGACTGTGCTACGTTTTAGAGTGCAAAATGTATACCTTTTGTCCCTTTGACTGAATCAAGTTGGGTTAGATATCTGCAGTAAGCAAGGAACCCGGAGTTTGTTGCAGATACCCACTACACGTATCTTTATGTTCACAGTTGACGCCACTGTAACTAAAGCTTGTGTTTTCATTTGTCTTCAAATTTTCATTCTTAACGAACTAAGAACGTGAAGTAAATACCAGAATTTCTGTAATTATTGCCCTTGTAACACTTATCACGTGATTCTTCAAGATTGAGACGATCCAATAGAAAATAAGCATCTATGCATTTTGGTGACTCCCAGGTGAACAACATGATCAAAAGCATTGACTTCAAGATTTTTTTTAGGATTACGGCGGCAAATGACAGATAAACCCAAACCTTTTATAGCCGGTGAGGACATAAATTTTCGCGCCGAACAAACAGTGAGGTCCTCTTTTGTTGCCCAGAGTACGATTAAAGTTTTGAAATAACCTAATTGACTTTTGCATATTATTTTTCAATTAGATGCTAATTATGCTTATGAAGGACTGCTCAGGGGTGATATGGACCTTGTTTTCGGAAAAATACGTTCACGACTACCAAATTAGGCTATTACTACAAAACTTCAGTGCCTGACTGGTGCCTGAATACTGTCGCTTTATACTTAGTAGCTCTTGTATAAGTGACGAATCGAAAACCGAAGGATGGGAGAGAAAATTTAGAAGAGAGGTATATAGGAATTGACTGTGGACATAGTTACACGGTTTGATACGTTAGGGTTGAAACGTTTTTGTACAGGGAATTATAGATGTAATCACAAGTTTCGTTTCAAGCTCATATATGAGCTACTATGCTTTAAATCTTATGGTGATCTTCAATAGTTATGAACTAAGAAATCTCATTAGATTGGTCGCGATAGACTATTGTGTGTCCGACACAGTGATGACATCTTCGTAAAAACGTTTCTGTCATTTGAGTTGGTTAATGATTATAATATTAGAAATGTACATCTTAAGCTACTTCACTCTTTAAATTAATAGGGTTTTAAAAGAATCCCAAGACATTAGATGGGCTGCCAGTGTACTAGAAATTAAATGCCTCTAAAAATATAATTGGGCCATTTAATGTGTGAAATATTGTTAAGAAACAACCAATATTTTAACATAAGACTACTGACTACTTCTTAAAACCCTGGATAGTACTCTTGCCACATAAATTATTCGGCTAAACGTGATACTTTAGTTATTATTTCATAAACATCAGAAATAAAATCTATGCAGGCAATCCAATTTTTCGGTGTAGCAGGTCCACTCTATGTTTAGTAACATGATCAAGATTTTACAGCATGCATTCATAAACATGAGATGTAACTTCAGTAAACTCGTTAAAAAGATCAAATCAGTACAACAGAACATTTATTTTGATATACCAAATTTGAGTAAAATAGGCTTGTGTGATAAACCATATGGCCAGTTTAGGATTATCACAAAGTATCCGAAGTAGGGAGTAATGTACAAACCATCAATTTAGCTGAGTATTTATGGAAACTCCATAGCTGCATGCCACAGACGTGTTGTTAAGAAAGAGGAGCATCTGATGTTACTGACGGACGAATACTCCTTATTTTCAACGATACAAAATGAGGTGTGTTTAATGAAGCGATGAAGCTCAAACTAACTGTTTACACTAGAGTGATCCATCAATAAAAATTCAGAGATGAAGTTCAAAAACTGGATTCAATGTGTGGTGAGGTGAAACGGAGTGGGACATGTTTAGGCTGAGTGAATAAAGTTTGGAATGTAATGCAAAGTAATTCCAGAAAAATGAAAAAGGACTGTGAGGTAGTAAAATAACTAATTAAGATCACTATCTTATCAGTGTGTTTTATTAATTTTATATTTTCATTGACACTGTCAAGTGATAATCCTTTATTCAGAGATCAAGGGTCTTCCCATGTTCCATATCTCAAGCTGTTGGATATGCTTGCAACATGTTTCTTGTGAGAAGAATTTTCCCAACAGGATTTGCAGAACGGGGATTTGTGTAGTATTTAATGTTTAATCTAACAATCATTTTGAAACCTACTGAGAAAACAAGCCCATAATTAGCATTATTTCGGTAGTACTGACTTATCTATGCCAGATGGGGTTTTGTGGATATTATTGTAATTTCAATAGTTGGGGTCATGAGTCAATTGAAGCTAGACCACTATGGGTAACCTAAAAGCAGTAGACGGCGTTTCGTCTTATTTTGGGACTCCTATGCAGTGCTCATCCACGATCCCGTCTCGCGAGATCCGAATCCAGGACCTGTCTCGCAAAGCGGGATCGTGGATGAGCACTGCAGGGGAGTCCCAAAATAAGACGAAATGCCGTCTACTGCTTTTAGGTTACCCATAGTGGTCCAGCTTCAATCGACTCATGATCTCAACTAATGAGATTATCTATGTGTATTGTACTCCTCCTCTGTTCCACCCACTCTGATAAACGTTTGCCTGTCGAAACACCCTACTTATGCTCACACTTTTAGAAACGCATGCATTGTGCTTTAGTAATTCACAGCACTCCACATACAATTTACTCGCAGTCCATAAGTTGTAGCCGCCCAATATGCCTGTGATGTGACGCTTGTGAGAAATGTTTTCCGACAGGATATGAAACACAGAGCTTCAATTAAGGTGTAAAACTTTGTCAAGCAAACACTTTGAAAGAGCCTCACACCACAAAAGGGTTCAGGGTGA